AACCCCATCACCCACATTATGTGTACACCTATACTTCAACCACACCTCACAACTCCCTACACAAAGCTAAAATCTTAACTGCTCTGGTTTATCCAAACCCATTGCTATCTCTACCCCAGAAAATTCACTGTTGTTTTGCTAACACAGCCAAGTCTAACAAAAGTAAATAAGCAGTTTGGAGGTCCTCTTCTCTTTTCCTTCAACTGATCTTTAAATCTGGGCACCTATAAATCAAACATTTCATCACTAGATCACAGAATTAAAAGTCCCACAATTTATTTATTCCAGATCTTTCTTTTACAGTAAACTCTCACTGCAATTTTTCTCATACAATTTTATGAGATATAACTAGCATACCATAAACCCATCCTTTTAAAGTGTACAAATTACCTCAAAAAGAAACACCAAGGGATTGAGGTTGTGGCTCAGTGCTAGAGCACTTGCCTAGCATTCGTGAGCATGTGCTGTGTTCGAGCCTCAGCACCACATAAAAAAATAAACAAAGGTATTATGTCCATCTACAACTAAAAAAGAAACTCTTAAAAAAAGAAAGAAAGTAAGAAAGAAAGAAACATCAAGCCTGATGTGGTGGTATGGTACATGCAAATAAGCCCAGCAACCCAGAAGTCCAAGACAGGAGAATTGCAAGTTCAAGGCCAACTTAGCCAGACTTTGTCTCAAAATAAAAACTCAAAAAAGAGCTGGGGAATATAGCTTAGTAGTAGAGCAGCCCCCACTCCCAACCGTATTATACCCAGAAAAAGATAAAAAAGCCAAAGGCAGTGGCACTAGCCTATAATCTCAACTCCCTGCCACTGGAGAGGCCAAGGCAACATCATAAGCTCCAGGACTACCTGGACAACTTAGTGATATGCCAACTCAAAATAGAATTTTAAAATGAGCTGGGTATGTAACTCAGAGACAGAATGCTCCTGGGTTCAACCTGATTGTACCACAGGAAGAAAAAAAAAAAATAAGGAAGAAAAAGAAATCCATAAACTCATCAATAGCTCTTGTTCTTCAACCCCTGGCAATCACTAATCTTTTTGTCTCTTTGAATTTGCGTACTCTGGACATTTTACATAAATGGATCAATACAATATGCAATCTTTTTGACTGGCTTTACCCAAGATGCCTGATCTTTTAAAGGTTCACTCCTGTTGCAGCATGCATCAGTACTTCAATCCTTTCTATATCCAAATAATATTTCACTGTATGAATATACCATATCTTGTTAACCCATTCATCAGTTGATGGACGTATGGGTTACTTCCATTTTTCGTTATGAATAACGGTGCTACCAACATATGTGTAAAAGTTTTTATATGGACATGTTTTCAGTTCTCTAGGAATGAACTTCTTGTCTCATACACTAATTCTATGCTTAATGTTTTGAGAAACTGTCCAACAATCTTCCAAAGCATTACATCATTTTACAATCCCACCAACAATGTATGAGAATTTCGCTAATAACACTTTCAACAAATGATTTTGTCATACTTCCTAACTGAAAAGAGAGGTGTGCCACCACTCTATAAAGATAGCCCCTTACTAAAAATACTACATTAATAAAACGGAAACGCATTTCTGGCAGGAATACAGAGAATAAAATGTTACAAGTTCAAATACATTAAGCAAATGCGTTAACTTCTCAAATCTGCCTTCGTTATTTGAAAATAGGGATGCCGTAATGACATTTAACTTGTAGTTGCTGTGAACATTAAATAAAACAAAGATGTTTACGATATTGATTATTCGTGATTCGATCCAGGGCAAAGCTTTAGGAGCAAAGGGCTAAATGCTCAGATTCCCTCCCCCTCGTTCAGGTTCCTTCCCCCTAGCGGGAGGGGTTGCTGAGCGACAACGGGGGCTGCAGTCACTCTAGCCACGCAGGATAAATTGTCAGAGCTCAAGCAGAGCCCTGCCATTCCATCCCAACATCGCTCTGTGGTGACAGATCCCCAGCCTGCTACTAAGCTTAGAAGTCAGCGCATGTTGTTTTTTCCTTTCTTAATGAAACAGATACACTTATTGCAGCCGAAGCAGAAATGGAGGGGCAAAATGAACACAAGCATATTCTCCCACCCATGTTCCCAGTCTGTCTCTCGTCTGTCTCTCCAATCCACTCCCCATAAGGAAAACAAATATGAAACCCAAGCCATTGCAAACCTAGAGGTACAAAAAGCGCAAGGACCCTCGCCTACTCCCCCACCAAACACCCCTATCGGATCCCCCAAGCCACATGTTTCAAAGCTTACCTGGTGGCTTCCTGTAGCTCGACCCGGCTCCGGCCAGGCGCCCCCGGAGGGATAGTAGCCATCTCCACCTCCGCCTTCTCCCGGCCAGGTGGTCTCAGGCGGGCCGCCCCCGCGCACCCGCCAGGAAATGGGAGGCTGGGGAGGTTCGGGGCGAAGGGGAGGATATATGGGCGGGGGAAGGTGCACTGGCACATCTCCACCCCCAGGCCCGTAGTAGCGACCATAAGACGGACCGTCACTGGGGCCGTAGCCCGAACGCCTCAAGGCCGACATGGGATCCACTGCCCCGAAGCGCTTCCCGCCCCCCACGGCCAACCCATTGCGCAGGCGCCTGCAGGCGAGAAAGAGTGGAGAGCAGTAAGAGGGGTCGGACGATAACAGCCAATCCCAGGCGCTGACCCGCCCCTTTTGCCGAGTCCCGAACGTAGAGGACGGCAGTGACTCCCTGGTCTCGAAGCAGGAAAGCAAGAGGAGGCACCATGCTCCTTACACGAAAGGAAACATTTTTCGACCCTCTATCCAATCTAGATCCTTCATCCTAATTTCTCCAGGATGGGGAAACGGTACCCCGAACTCCACCGTCCCGAACCGCATGACTGCCCCACCTCTTCCGGGGGGCAGGCACGTGATACCGGAAGTGGGTGGGGTAATATGAAGGTGCTTCCGGCAGACCCCGGCGGCTGAAAGCCGGGGCAGAAGTGGTGGTCTGGAAAGAGACTTTCCTGTCCCGGTCCCGCCGAGGCGGCGACTGCGGTGGGAAAAAAGAGTTATTGGACACGCTGGCCTATCGCCGCTGTACATTATAGCCTCATCTCAGCTCAAAATGAACTATATGCCCGGCACCGCCAGCCTCATCGAGGACATCGACAGTGAGTAGCTCATTTCCTCCCGGTGAAGCCTGGAGTGAGACCCTTTCTCTCCGGAACACGGCCCTCTTTGGAGGGAATTTGTAGAATGAGTCCAGAGCTGGGGGAAGTATGTTTTGAGCTCATTTCTGAGTGTTCTGCCTTGAAATTCTCCACAGCCACGGGACCCCACCGCTTGCCACCTCCTTGCCTGCTACCTCAGTTCTGCCCCTCGCAACCTTCACCAGACCTAGGGCTGGTGAGCCGCAAACTGTTGAATTTATTTTTAGTTCCGAGGGTCGTGGCAGCGTAGGCCCGAGTACCAAAGTGGCCCAGCCGACTTGTCCCGCATCCACTGTTTCCCGCGGTAATTTCTCTAAGTACCAGGTTGTTACTAGTGGGTAAATGAGAATATTTAGAGGAAGGATGCATCAAAAAATGAAAATATTAAGACAACAGCAGTCGGTTTAAATTAGCAGTAAATGTAGGCTTTCTGTTCTGTAGCCATTTGCAATATTCTTTTACTATGAGGGTCATTAGCATTTTCAGGTTATGTTAGTAGAGACCACTGCCAGACAACCTGTCTTTATCAAAATTTTTTTCTGTGCATTATTCTTCAAGAAGTAACATTTTTATCATTTTAATCATATTATCTGCCCCATTAACTTGTAATTGCTACAAAATGATTTACACATTTTCAACAAGTTACAGTGATCTCTGTATTTACTGTGCGAGTATAAAAATTAGATTGTTTGATTACATTCTCATTTTATGGTTATCTGAGATCGTTTTTTAAACCCAAATTACTAATTTTGCTAATGAAAGGAAATGTAGTATAAATTGAACCAAATATGTATATAAACATTACTCTGTAAGTAGTCTGCCTGTAAGGTGTAATGAAATATTCTATTTTACTGGCTTGAGGATGCTCTTCCCTTTTGCCTTCACCTCTTCTTGTATATATGAATTATTGAAACCACTAACACACCCTTCCATTTTCATAAAAATTATGTTTTGTTTTCAAGCTTTCTAATCTGTGCCTCT